GCCACCGAGCTGTCACAATGAGGACACCGCCGATGGCTGCCTCCATCGGCCATTCGTGGAAGGCCGGTAGGGAATAATGCCTACTGGCCCTTAAATAGCGAGGCTACGAGAAGAAGGGCACTCTGCTGCTGGGCCACGACACTGTTGCCGAGACGCGCTACCGACGACTCGAAATTCTGCTGCTAGAGGCATAGGAATCTGTTGCCCTAGACGAGAGACTGCTACCGAGGCGTGGCCGATGACAGAGCACACGCTGGTGACGGACACAGAAGACCAAGCTGTCGGACACGCAGAAGGCAGAGCGTATGTACAAGCAGAAATAGTGACAGTAAACTATTAACTGATATCCTGTTATGCCTTCTCTTCCTAACACGCAACAGGTGGATAAAACCAGTGTTAACACAGGAACACATAAGGATATAACAGGCAGCGAACATAAAATCGATGGACAATTTCACCTAGATAGGAAGCAAACTCTCACTCAGCGCCAAAATTGACTATGATGTTGGGCACCGAATATCCCAAGCCAGCTAAGCCTTCAGCCGATTGCAAACCTGTGTATGAAATCGTCACAGCCTTATTCTGAACATCAAGCTGGAAATGCACGGGCAAATCGCCTTGACTAACCGTCTGTGTGAAGCGGAGACCTGAACTGTGTACTTCAACCAAGGCGAGAAGCTGAACCACTTGCAGCTCAGTTGCTCTTGCTAAATACTGAAGCTGAGATGGCAGAAGAGGATCTCAGACATGGAAGTTCTTATGCGACCCGGGTATTTCAGCATTCGCGCCATGCTCAGTCACAGAAACTGCGATAGAGCGACCACCACATGAGAGTGGACGACGAGCGATTGCCCAGACAGAGATCCTGCAGATGTTCGTCGCACGTTCCCTGCCAAATGAAGGAATTGTGAATCAAACCCGAGGCCTGGGAAGAACCCGACCAGATACAATTGAACTATGGAAGACTGATGAAGATTGAGCAACCAATCTATGAATTCAACCGGACTGCTGCTGCCGAGGCTAAAAGCGTGGCCCCCAAGCCTCAACTGCCCTCGATCCACAACGCCAACAACCAAATCCCACCAATATGCCTATGTCGTCAATGGATATTCTACGCGCGGATCAGCTTCGTCAGACATCCCTGCTATGTTCCCCAGTTTTATTTGTAGAATAGAAGACAGGCAGGATAGCAGAGAAGAAGTCTGATGCAAAAGTTTTTGCATATACATCAACTACTCTGCGGTTCCGTCAACTTCTCCGCCCTTCTGTGCGCGGCATCGTATTTAAGGACGATCGGCCTTTGTGCGTTTTGCCTGATCTTACTGGTCCATCTCGTAAGCGTCCTATCTGGGCAGCTGTCACGTGATGCCGGTTCCCTAAAGGTTGCACATGACCCGGCAGCGCGGTTATGCGTGGCTCTTGCGCCAGCACACTTTCGCGTTTTGGGGTTTTTTGTAGCCTGACCCCAGGACGGCAAGAGTGGTGACTTTTCTTCTTTGCTGTTCTAACAATGCCCGGACCCAATGCAGCAAAAACCCGACAACTACAACTGCTACATCAACAATCACCTATATTGTTAGCCCTGCCTCAACCCCCACCACTGGTAACCACACCTCCGATGCAAAACCGCAACCGATCACGGTGACGACCATCGCCGACACCACCAATTGGCCTACTCTCGTCATCCTTGATACCGTTCCTAATGTCCTAGCAACCACTACTCTCATCATCAACACCACCCATCTCGCGCCACTTTGTTGTAGTGTACACGGTGAGCCTCAACGGAATCGGCATTCGGAGTGTCGGGTGTGTACTGGTTTCCAGTTGGGGACTCTACTGTGTACGTAGTAGCAGATAGCATCATTTGCCTCGTGCGTGTGATGAATACTCCTAAGGTCTCTTCACTGGCATCCAACTCTTATCTGTGGCTTCTCTAAGCCACGCTCTACCTAGCAGGCACACCTCAGCAACCTCCCCACTGGTGTGCAAGACAAAATGAGGTTATCTTCTGTATCTCCAAACACCCCGTAATTTCGGTTCTCCCTTTATTTGCAGACCGTGATTTGCTTTAGGTTTTTCCAACACAGCAACCAGGTAGAGGGTAAGGGACAAAATATTTAAGACGTCGAAATTATCTTTACTAGCCTATGGTAGCTAGGCTGTTTACATGATTCTGTTGACACACAGTCCCTATTCATGCAAACCCGTATACTGACACACAATTTCACAAACCACAGAAGTTAATTCTCCATCGACAAATTTAAAAGGCACATGGAGAAAAAGTTCGCAATGAAATGTCTAAAAAAATAGAAATCTATAAGCACAGAAAAGAGTTCGATAGAAAAACATTC